CATCAGACATGAGAAATCCATATCTGACCGGAGGATTACGTATCCGGTCTGACCTACGTGGTATATCTTGAGCAATTTGAGGTTCAATTGCTTGATCTCTTTGCTCAGGTTCCAACACTATCGGGACTTCTTCTTGTGGTTCTCGAATTTCTTCGAGGTCTACCTTTCTCCCACTAGTGATAGCAGAAAGAAACTCCTTTTCAAGGAAGGTTCCATTCCGAGCAACAAAGATTTTGTTATCGGATGGATGATAGAACTCATACCCTCTAGTTTCCTTGGGGTATCCCACAAAAATTACTTTATCAGATTTAGGCTCCAACTTACTAGACGTCATGGGACGTTTTACATAAGCTTCACAGCCCCAAATCTTAAAGTACGAGAAACTCGGTTTTCTCCCACGCCATAGTTCGTATGGTGTGCTCTTGATAGCTTTAGATGGAACTCTGTTGAGTGTGTGTGCTGCTGTTTTCAATGCATATCCCCAAAATGATTCTGGCAATGTTGTTAGACTAATCATGCTCCGGACCATGTCTAGCAAAGTCCGATTTCTCCTCTTAGACACTCCATTTAACTGAGGTGTCCCTGGAGGAGTGAGTTGGCATAAGATCCCATGCTCTTTCAGATAGTCATCGAACTCTAGGCCTAAGTATTCACCTCCTCGATCCGAGCGGAGGGTCTTAATACTTTTGCCTAATTGTTTTTCTACTTCGTTCTTGAATTCTTTGAATTTGTCAAAGCATTCCGATTTGTGTTTCATGAGATACACATATCCATATCTACTAAGGTCGTCAGTAAATGTAACGAAGTAAGAATAACCACCTCTGGCTACATTGCTAATTGGACCACAGACATCGGAGTGTATGAGGCCCAATAAGTCATTCGCCCTTTCACCGTGCCCGGTGAATGGAGCCTTTGTCATTTTACCAAGTAAACAAGATTTACATACATCATATGACTGGAAGTCAAATGAATCAAGTACACCAGAACGATGTAACTTAGATATGCGTTTCTCGTTAATGTGGCCCAAATGACAATGCCAAAGGATCGCGAGATTCAAACTGTTAGGTTTGTTTCTCTTAACATCTACGTTATATATTGTGGTATCCATGTCAAGGACATAGAGACCATTGGTCATTTTTGCACTTGCATAAAATATATCATTTCTAAAGACAAAGAGTTTTGTCTTTTACAACGAATGAAAATCCTGCTTTGTCAAGGCAGGATACAGAAATGATGTTTCTGCTCATGCTAGGTACAAACAGACAATTATTCAAACGCAATATTAGACCACGAGGTAGAGATAAACTATAGGTTCCGACGGCCAATGCATAGACGAGTGCGCCATTACCGACTTTTAGTTGTATCTCTCCCTCCGTCAATTGTCTACATTCATGCAAGTTCTGCATAGAAGTACAGATGTGAGAACCACATCCAGTATCCATCACCCAAGAGGTGATATCAGACATATTGACTTCGATAACGTAAATACCTGAGTTTTGGGGTTGACCGTGGTAAAGGTCTCTTAAGCATTGTATCATAGGACGCACTTCCATGTCCG